CTAGAAAGCAAACAAAAAGAAAACCCCAGCGCAAGTAGAAGGAAGGAAATAATAAAGATCAGAGCAGAAATAAATGACATGGAGACCAAAAAAACAATTCAAAGTATCAAAGAAACAAAGAGCTGGTTCTTTGAAAAGATAAACAAGATTGATTGACGATTAGCTAGACTCACCAAGGAAGAAAGGAAAGAGGAGAACAAATAACTGAAGCCACAGAAATACCAAGGATTGTTAACAAATATTATGAACAATTATACGGCAACAAATTTGACAATCTAAGTGAAATGGACAAATTTCTACAAACACATAGTCTCCCAAAAGTAGACCGGGAAGAGATAGAAAACTTGAACAGACCAATAACAACAAAAGAAATTGAAGATGTAATCAAGACTTTCCCAGCAAACACAAGCCCAGGTCCAGATGGCTTCATTGGGGAAATTAACCAAACATTCAAAGAGGAACTAATACCCATTCTCCTCAAACTATTTCAAAACTTCAAGAAGAAAGAAGACTTCCAAACTCGTTTTACGAGGCCAGCATAATTCTAATTCCAAAACCAGAAAAAAGACACTACAAAGAAAGAAAACTACAGGCCAATATCCCTGATGAACATAGATGCCAAAATCCTGAACAAAATACTACCAAATCGAATCCAGCAATACATCAAAAAAGTTATTCACCATGATCAAGTGGGATTCATCCCAGGCATGCAAGGCTGGTACAATATTCGCAAATCAATAAATGTGATATAATACATAAACAAAATGAAGAATAAAAATTATATGATCATATCAATAGACACTGAAAAAGCATTTGACAAAATCCAGCACCCATTTCTGATAAAAATGCTCAGCAATCTGGGAATAGGGGGATTATATCTCACCATTATAAAGACCTACAGCCAACATCATATTAATGGGCAAAAACAAAAAGCATTTTCCTTAAGAACAGAAACAAGATAAGGATGCCTACCTTCGCCACTTCTATTTAACATAGTACTGGAAGTCTTAGCCAAAGCAATGAGACAGGAAGAAAAAATAAGAGGGATCCAATTGGAAAGAATGAAGTGAAACTGTCATTATTCACAGATGACATAATACTATACGTAGAAAACCCCAAAGACTCCATCAAAAATTTACTAGACTTAATAATTGAATTTGGCAAAGTAGCAGGATACAAAATTAACGTCAAGAAATCGAGGGCATTTTTATACACCAATGATGAACTCCCAGAAAGGGAAACTAAGAAAACAATCCCATTTACTATTGCATCAAAAAAATTAAGATACCTAGGAATAAACCAAAGAAATAAAGGACCTATTTGCAGAAAACTACAGGTCATTGAAAAAAGAAATAGTGGATGATATAAAAACGTGGAAGCACGTACCTTGTTCATGGATTGGAAGAATTAACATCATTAAAATGTCCGTACTGCTCAAAGCAATCTACAGATTCAATGCATTCTCCATCAAAATACCAACAACATACTTCACAGAACTAGAACAAATACTTCAAAAGTTCATATGGAACCATAAATGACCTCCAATAGCCATAGCAATCTTGAAAAAGAAGAACAAAGTAGGAAAGATCACATTACCTGATTTCAGGTTATACCACAAAGCCACTGTAATGAAAACAGCCTGGTACTGGCACAAGAACAGGCACATAGACCAGTGGAACAGAACAGAGAACCCAGAAATGGACCCATGGCAATGTGCTCAATTAATATTTGACAAAGGTGGCAAGAGCATACAGTGGAGTAAAGACAGCCTCTTTAATAAATGGTGTTGGGAAAATTGGAGAGCTAAATGCAAAAAAAAAAAAAAAAAATGTAACTAGACCATCAACTTACACCCTACACAAGAATAAACTTAAAATGGATAAAAGGCTTTAATGTAACTCGTGAATCCTTATAAATCCTAGAGGAAAATGTAGGCAACAAAATTTCAGACATCACATGCAGCAGAATTTTCACTCATACATCCCCTAAGGCAATAGAAACAAAGGAGAAAATGAACACATTGGACTACATCAAACTCAAAAGCTTCTGCACAGAAGAAGATACAATCATCAAAATGGAAAGGCAACCCACTGTATGGGAGACCATCATTGACAATTATATATCAGATATGGCATTAATTTCTAATATATCTAAAGTGCTTATACTACTCAACAAAAGGAAGACAAAGAACCCAATTAAAAAATGGGCAGAGGAACTAAATGGACACCTCTCCAAACAGGACATACAAATGGCTAAGAGATATATGAAGAAATACTCAACATTACTAACCATCAGAGAGATGCAAGTTCTAACAACGAGGTATCACCTCACATCTGTCAGAATGGCCGCCATCAACAAATCATCAAACAACAAGTGTTGGCGAGGGTGTGGAGAAAAGGGGACTCTAGTACATTGCTGGTGGGAATGCAGACTGATGCAGCCACTATGGAAAACAATATGATGTTACCTCAAAAAATTAAAAATTGAACTTCCATTTGACCCAGTGACCCCACTTCTAGGAATATACCCTAAGAAACCTGAAACACCAATCAGAAAGAGTATATACACCCCCATGTCCGTATCAGCACTATTTACAATAGCTAAGATCTGGAAACAGCCCAAGTGTCCATCAGTAGACGAATGGATAAAAAAACTGTTGTCCATATACACAATGGAGTATTATGTAGCTGTACGAAAGAAAGATCTCTTATCCTTTTAGATGACATGGAAGAACCTGCAAAGTATTATCCTAAATGAAACAAGCCAAACAGAGAAAGACAAGTATCATATGATCTCACTTATTTGTGGAATATAATGAATATAGCAGTCTGAAGAATGGCGTAGTCTCAGAGACGTGGAAATGGGGTACAGACTGATAATTCCCAGAAGAGGAGGTAGTGGGGGAGAGATAAACCACAGAACTTATATTCATGTATACATGAACAATGGATATGGACAACAAAGCTGGGGACAGGGCAGGGAGGGAGTGGGAGGGAGGAACCCGTGTGCAGAAAGGAGAAACATCTGTAACAGAAATAAATTAATTATGAAAAAAGAAGAAATATATGCACAATGAAAGTCTCATTTTCTTTTAGTTGTGTTTGTAGTTCTTCAAAATTAAAACTTAACATAGGTAAGTACTTTTTAAAAACAGAGTGCAATTTAAAAATAGTTATTAATAGATATATATTTCATTCAAAATGTTTGCTGCTAAGCAAAACAAATCAATGATTATAGAAGTCAGAAGAGCAGCTGTTTAAAAGTTTATTAGCTGGTCAGGGAGATTAGTTGTGGGAGTTTCTATGCACTGGAAATGCTTTAGATTTCAATTGGGTTGTTGCTATATGGAAGTAGATATACATAGAAATTCACACACTTGACCATTTGCTACATATTATTTTGCTCTCATCATGAGAATGCTAAAAACCCCGGTAGACTATCTAGAAAGTTTTGTAGCAAGCAGAACGTTTTCAGGACCTGGGACATGATACATTTTATTCTCCCCGAAATATCATTTTCAGAAGAGAGATTCTAAGTCCTTTCTTTTTCTCTCATTTTTTTTTTCTACAAAAGAGTTACTTGTTATGCTGAGATGCAGTTCTCTCTCATTGTACCTGCAACATGATGTATCTTCTCATACTGCTCTTTTCACCTTCTGGCGCATCTAATTTTTCTCTTAGAATTGTATTCTATTTCATTCACCTGCATCTTTGCCAGAAGCTTGTATAGGGTATGAGTAATTCAGAGACTTGGGGTTGAGAGGTATCTGCAGAGGCAGTTGCCCTGGCTGCTGCCAGAAGAAAACAGTGAGAGATAAGGAAGCAGAGAGGATCTAGGCTGCCTCTGACCCCATAGCATCTAATGTGGCATTTGGAAAGGTTAGAAACAAGAAGACAGAGCAGCAGGACCATGCTGGCAGCAGCACCTCTGGAGCCTCTAGCAGGACCAGGGTGCCTTCTGCATCTGTGGCTGCACTCCAAAGAGGGGAAGTCCCTGGGCAGTGTTCCAGGGCTGCTCTGAGATAAGACCTAAAGGCTGAGAGCAGATGTCATGTCTGAGAATCCCCAGCAGAGCACAGCAGGCACAGGATGAACCAGAAAGGAGGTGTGTAAGTGGGGAGACAGAGGGAGAGGGGGAGAGAAAAAAGGGGTGTGGAGAGAGAGACTGTGGGGGAGAGTTGGAGAGAGGAACAGGGAGGGGGAAGGGAGGGTCGGGGTAGGGAAAAGGGGAGAAAGGAAGAAAGACAAACAGGAAGAAAGGCAGGAAGAAAGACACACAGAAGCAGGAAGAAAAGAGAAGGGAAAGGGGGACTTTTTAGAGAAAATGGGAAAAATATTTTTCTACTATAATTTTTAGTTAAGGTTAAATACATGAACACTACCATGATTATTTGATTTCCTGAACATATTAAACCAATAGTGCTTAGTTCCAGTTCTTCTTGCTTAGAAAGTAGAAAAGGGAAGAGTGGCCACTGTCAGACTGCAGGTTCACAATATTTTCAAAGGGCAAGTAGCCCTTCTGCTAATCTTTGGTGTTCAGATATAGCTAATTGTGGCCTTTTCCACATCCTATCTTAAAATCATTTCAAAGCCTGTCATCCAGGAAGTTGATGATCAGTTGTTTGTGAACTTCAAAGGGGGCTTCTATGAAAGGATCATGTAGCTCAGTAATTGGCAGAGATTGAGGGCCTCCTGGGTGTCAGGCCAGGCCCAGACCCATCCCTAGCATCATTTGATCTTCATTATATGGATGAGGGCACAGAAAAGTGAGAATTGGGTGGGCTGTAATGACCCCATTCTCCCCACCTCATGGTGCTGTCCTCTGCAATATAATTGTTCAGATATTTTGTACTTTATAAACACACTACTATGCTAGCTCTAATTTCCTGTGGTTCTGCAGATATTTATCATCTGTTTTGTGTTCTTATGCCTCTCTCTCTCTCTCTCTCTCTCTCTCTCTCTCTCTCTCTCTCTCTCTCTCTCTCTCTCTCTCTCTCTCAGATGCTGAGCTCAGAAGTAGCAGCCAGGATTCCCAGAAAATAGTTGAGGAGCCAGAGGAACCTGTCTCTCCGGAGGACACAGAAAGAGAAAATATCCAGGTAAGGGAATTCATTCATCCATGCCTGGGGCACGGGGTGTTCCTAGAGGCACTTGTGCAGGTTGTGGGCAGTCCTGGTGCTTGGGTTTTTGCCAAGAAGTTCCAAGGTCTGATGCAAAAAGGCCCCACGAGCACTAAGAACACTAAGTTTGGGGAGTGAGCTCAGAGGAAACTGAGGCTGTGTGTTTGTAATAGACATGTAAGAGCCTCACTGCTGTCTTCAGGAATGGAAATTCATGCCTCCTCTACCTTCCCTCTCATTCATTCCCTGATTTCAGGAGGCTGAGGTGGGCACAGCTGCTCATTTAAAGACACTTAAAAAATCCAGACTTTCTGAATAGACTTGCACACTGTCCAGATGCGCAAAGGAGGCAGCATTTTTCTTCCTGCAAACTACAGAGATGTTCACCACAACTCCCTGGAGAGCTATTGGATCCCTTGTCCTGGCTGGGAGCTCCTGCCCCCTTCTGCTGCCAGGGTGCGCTGATAGAGCTCACTTGTGCTGCACCTGCCACCCTTACCTAAAGGGGAAACCTGAAACAAGGTGGCCAGTCAGGGGACTCACATTTAAGTCTTTTATCCCTTTTCAGTTTATTCTTGTGTATGGTTTAAGTTGATGGTCTAGTATCATTTTTTTTTTTTTTTTGCATGGAGCTGTTCAATTTTCTTTCTTATTTTTTTTAGCATTCTTTTAAAATTTATTTTTATTGTTGAAAATATTACTATGTCCCTTTTTTCCCCCTTGACCATCCCTCCTCACCCCCCCTACCCTCTTCTTACCTCACTATTGTCTCTCCATTTGTTATGCATATATGCTTTTTTGTTTTTCTCTTCCCATCCCCCCTTTTCCCCTAATATAACATTTCTTTTTTTTAATTAATTTATTTTTTATTAATTAATTTTTGTTACAGATGTTTCTCCCCCCCCCACTGATTCCCCCCTCTCCCTCCCTACCTGCCCTATCCCCAGTTTGTTGTCCATGTACCACTGTTCATGCACACATGCATATAAGTTCTGTGGTTTATCTCTCCCCCACCACCCCCTCTTCTGGGGATTGTCAGTCTATACTCCACTTCCACGTCTCTGGGACTACCCCAATCCTCAGACAGTTATGTTCATTATATTCCACAAATAAATGAGATCATATGATACTTGTCTTTCTCAGTTTGGCTTGTTTCACTTAGGATGATACAGGTCCCTCCATGTAGTCTCAAAGGATACGAGATCTTTCTTTCTTATACCTACGTAGTACTCCATTGTGTATATGTACCACTGCTTTTTTATCCATTCGTCTACTAATGGACACTTGGGCTGTTTCCAGATCTTAGCAATTGTAAATAGTGCTGATACAAACATGGGGGTACATATATTCTTTCTGATTGGTATTTGAGGCTTCTTAGGGTATATTCCTAGAAGTGGGATCACTGGGTCAAATGGAAGTTCAATTTTTACTTTTTTGAGGTAACACCATATTTCCATAGTGGCCGCACCAGTCTGCATTCCAACCAGCAGTGTACTAGAGTCCCCTTTTCTCCACATCCTCGCCAATACTTGTTGTTTGATGATTTGTTGATGGCTGCCATTGTGACAGATGTGAGGTGATACCTCATTGTTGTTTGAATTTGCATCTCTCTGATGATTAGTGATGTTGAGCATTTCTTCATATGTCTCTTAGCCATTTGTATGTCCTGTATGGAGAGGTGTCTATTTAGTTCCTCTATCCATTTTTTAATTGGGTTCTTTGTCTTCCTTTTGTGGAATTGTATGAGCACTCTCAATATATTGGAAATTAACGCCTTATCTGATATATTATTGGCAATGATGCTCTCCCATACAGTGGGTAGCCTTTCCGTTTTGATGATTGTATCTTTTGCTGTGCAGAAGCTTTTGAGTTTTATGTAGTCCCATGTGTTCATTTTCTCCTTTGTTTCTGTTGCCGTAGGGGATGTATCAGTGAAAATTCTGCTGCGTATGATGTGTGAAATTTTGTTGCCTACAGTTTCTTCTAGGATTTTTATGGATTTATGAGTCCCATTTAAGTCTTATATCCATTTTGAGTTTATTGATGTGTAGGGTATAAGTTGATGGTCTAGTTACATTTTTCTGCATGTAGCTGTCCAATTTTCCCAGCACCATTTATTAAAGAGGCTGTCTGTACTCCACTGTATGCTCTTGCCACCTTTGTCAAATATTAATTGAGCATACTGCCTTGGGTCCATTTCTGGGTTCTCTGTTCTGTTCCACTAGTCTATATGCCTGTTTTTGTACCAGTACCTGTTGTTTTGATTACAGTGGCTTTGTAGTATAACCTGAAATCTGGTAATGGGATTCCTCCAACTATGTTCTTCCTTTTCAAGATTGCTGTGGCTATTTGAGGTCTTTTTTGGTTCCATATAAACTTTTGAAGTACTTGTTCTAATTCTGTGAAGTATGCCGTTGGTATTTTGATGGGGATTGCATTGAATCTATAGATTGCTTTGGGTACTATGGACATTTTAATGATGTTAATTCTCCCAATCCATGAACAGGGTGTGTGCTTCCACTTTTTTATATCTTCCTCTATTTCTTTTTTCAACGATCTGTAGTTTTCTGTGAATAGGTCCTTTATTACTTTGGTTAAGTTTATTCCTAGGTAATTTAATATTTTGCTGCCATGGTTAATGGGATTGTTTTCTTAGTTTCTCTTTCAGTGAGTTCATCTTTGCTGTATAAGAATGCCATCGATTTCTTGACATTCATTTTATATCCTGCTACTTTGCCAAATTCATTTATTAAGTCAAGTGAATTTTTGATGGAATCTTTGGGGTTTTCTCCGTATAATATCATGTCTTCTGTGAATAATGACAGATTCACTTCCTCCTTTCCAATTTGGATCCTTTTTATTTTCCTTCCTGTCGGATTGCTGTGGCTAAGACTTTCAGTACTATGTTAAATAAGAGTCGTGAAAGTGGGCATCCTTGTCTTGTTCCTGTTCTTAAGGAAAATGCTTTTAGTTTTTGCCCATTGTGTATGATGTTGGCTGTAGGTCTTTTATATATGGCCTTTATTATGTCGAGATATGATCCCTCTATTCCCACATTGGTGAGCATTCTTATCAGGAATGGATGCTGGATTTTGTTGAAGGCTTTTTCGGCATCTGTTGATATGATCATGTGGTCTTTATTCTTCATTTTATTTATGTGGTGTATCACGTTTATTGATTTGCGAATATTGTACCAGCCTTGCATCCCTGGGATGAATCCCACTTGGTCATGGTGGATAATTTTTTTGGTGTATTGCTGGATCCGATTTGTTATTATTTTGTTCAAGATTTTGGCATCTATGTTCATCAGAGATATCGGCCTGTAATTTTCTTTCTTTATAGTGTCCCTTTTTGGTTTTGGAATTAGAATTATGCTGGCTTCATAAAACAAGTTTGGAAGTCTTCCTTCTTCTTGAATTTTTTGAAATAGTTTGAGGAGAATGGGTATTAGTTCCTCTGTGAATGTTCGGTAAAACTCTCCTGTGAAGCCATCCGGGCCTCGGCTTTTGTTTGCTGGGAGAGTCTTAATTACATCTTCAATTTCTTCTGTTGTTATTGGTCTGTTCAAGTTTTCTATCTCTTCCTGGTCCAGTTTTGGGAGACTATGTGTTTCTACAAATTTGTCCATTTCACTTAGATTGTCGAATTTGTTGCCATATAATTGTTCATAGTAGTTGTTAACGATCTTTTGTATTTCTGTGGTGTCAGTTGTTACTCCTCCTCTTTCATTTCTGATTTTGTGTATTTGGGTTCTCTTTGTTTCTTGGTGAGTCTAGGTAAGGGTACATCAATCTTGTTTATCTTTTTGAAACACCTAGCTGTTCAATTTTCCAAACACCATTTACTAAAGAGGCTGTATTTACTGTATGCTTTTGCCCCCTTTGTCAAATATAAATTGAGAACATTGTCTTGGTTCCATTTCTGGGTTCTCTATTCTGTTCCATTGATCTATCTCCCTGTTCTTATGCCAGTACCAGGCTGTTTTGAATACAGTCACTTTGTAATATAACCTGAAATCTGGTATTGTGATTCCTCCAAACTTGTTCTTCCTTTTCAAGATTGCTGTGGCTATTTGAGGTCTTTTTTGGTTTCATATGAACTTTTGAAATACTTGTTCTAATTTTGTGAAGTATGCCGTTGGTATTTTGATGAGTATTGCGTTGAATCTATAGATTGCTTTGGGTAATATGGACATTTTAATGATGTTAATTATTCTAATCCATGAACAAGGTATTTGTTTCAACCTTTTTATATCATCTTCTATTTCTTTTTTCAATGACCTGTAATTTTCAGCAAATAGATCTTTTATTTCTTTGGTTAAGTTTATTTTTAGGTATCTTAATTTTTTTTGCCATGAATGTAAATGGGATTAAATGGGTTTTTTTGTTTTGTTTTGTTTTTTTGTTTTTCAGTTTCTCTTTCTGTTAGTTAATCATTGGTGTATAAGAATGAGATTGATTTCTTGATGTTAATTTTGTATTCTGCTACTTTGCCAAATTTATTAAATCTAGTAAATTTTTGATGGAGTGTATTTGGTTTTCTACATATAGTATCACGTCATCTGAAAATAATGATAGTTTGACTTCTTTTTATTCCAATTTGGATTCATCTTATGTTTTCTTCCTGTCTGATTGCTGTGGCTAAGACCAGTACTATGTTAAATAAGAGTGGTGAAAGTGGGCATCCTTGTCTTGTTCCTGTTCTTAAGGGAAATGCTTTTAGTTTTTGCCCATTAATATAATGTTGGTTGTAGGTCTTTATAATGGTGAGATATAATCCCCTTATTCCCAGATTGCTGAGTGTTTTTATCGTAAATGGGTGCTGGATTTTGTCGAAGGATTTTGCAGTGTCTATTGATATGATCATATGATTTTTATATTTCATTTTGTTTATGTGGTATATCACATTTATTGATTTGAAAATATTGTACCAGCCTTGCATTCCTGGGATGAATCTCACTTGGTCACAGTGAGTAATTT